CTGGCTTCATCTGGGGCCCTGAGCAAGCAGATGCGTTTCAAAATCTAGTGTGTCTGCTTACGTCTCCGCCTATCCTCGCCCACTTTGATATTTCATCTCCAACAGAAGTTCGTACAGACGCAAGTGGCTATGGCATCGGTGCAGTCCTCGCCCAGAAACAACAAGGACGAGACCGTGTTGTTGCTTATGCCAGCCGCCTTCTTTCGCTGCTGAAAGAAAATATTCAATAACCGAACGGGAATGTTTGGCACTTGTTTGGGCAGTCGGTAAATTTCGTCCCTATTTGTACGGCCGGCCATTCACAGTAATCACAGATCACCACGCCTTGTGCTGGCTTTCGTCCCTTAAAGACCCTTCAGGCCGTCTTGGCCGTTGGGCGCTGCGCCTTCAAGAATTTGATTACTCAGTCCTGTATAAACCGGCCGCCTACATCAAGATGCGGACTGCTTGTCCCGGTATCCTGTCGACCCTCCAGACGGCGACTCCTCTAAAACCACCTTCCTATCGACGTTTTCTCTCTATCCGCGTTTCATGACATTGGAATCGAGCAGCGACGAGATACTTTCTTGGACGGTATTATCCGAAGGCTCACATCGGTGAGGCCCGACCCTTCCCTTCGAATGTTTGAAATACATGATGGTGTATTGTACCGTTGCAATATGCGTCCTGACGGCCCCGAAAGACTACTCGTCGTTCCCATTCAATTGCGTCACACTGTTCTCGCCCAGCTTCATGATGCACCTACAGCGGGTCACCTCGGCGTGTCACGGACCTACGACAGAGTTCGCCGGCGCTTCTTCTGGCCTGGCATGTACCGCGACGTCTGCCGTTATATTGCAGCCTGCGACCCTTGTCAACGACGGAAAAAACCAAATGCCCCTCCGGCCGGACGTCTTCAGCCACTGCACATCCCACAAGACCCATTCTACCGTGTTGGCGTGGACCTGCTTGGCCCTTTTCCTACGTCAGCTGCGGGTAATCGGTGGATTGCAGTAGCAACCGATTATGCTACCCGATACGCGATCACACGGGCCCTTCCAACCAGCTGTGCAACTGACGTGGCCGATTTCCTTTTGGAGGACGTCATCTTACATCATGGCGCCCCTCGACAACTCCTTACCGACCGAGGTAGCTACTTCCTTTCCAAAGTGGTTGATGACCTCCTCCGCTCCTGCGCCACTAAACACAAGCTCTCGACTGCTTACCATCCACAAACAAATGGTCTAACGGAGCGCCTCAATCGCACTCTCACCGACATGCTCTCCATGTATGTCTCCGCCGATCACCGCGACTGGGACACTACGTTACCGTTTGTAACATTCGCGTACAATTCTTCCAGACACGACACCGCTGGGTTCTCTCCTTTTTTTCTGTTGTTCGGCCGTGACCCTGCGCTACCCTTCGACACCCTCCTGCCGGCCGGACTAAATGACAAGTCTCAGTACGCTCGTGATGCAATAATGAAGGCCCAAGCGGCACGCCAAGTTGCTCGACGACGCTTACTGGACTCCCAGGACAATCAGAAGAGCGTATACGACGCCCGCCATCGTGACGTCCACTTCACACCCGGAGATCTCGTTCTGTTATGGTTCCCCTCGCGCCGCGTTGGACTTTCGGAGAAGCTACTCCCACGCTATTCAGGTCCCTACCGTATCTTACGCCAAGTAACTGACGTCACATACGAAATCACCCCTACGGACCCCGCCATCCTTCACCCTCACACTGACGTAGTGCATGTTACGCGACTCAAACCGTATTACTCCAGTGCCTCCTGATTAGCACCGGGTCGGTGCTCCAGCCGCCGGGGAAATCATGTAACGGTAGGATGAGAACGACGAAGAAGACAAAGAGGAGGACGATGTTGTCAGATCTGTGAGCCAACTGGGCGCCATCTTGTCCACCACCGAGTTTATTCCTCGTTTAATAAAGTAAAGTTATTCTCCCGTAACAATATAGCTCTTTCTCTCTCTCTCTTATATAAAACCGAACAGTGTTTTTGGTTGATTAGTGGCTAGGCATCATGTTTCTCCGCAGATAAATATTTCTTTGTTACTGGTTACGCGAGGATAACGCACATTTCAACATTATTTTTTTAGCAAACGCACCCGCGACATCACCCCGCAGCGGTGGTCTAGTGGCTAAGGTACTCGGCTGCTGACGCGCAGCTCGCGGGATCAAATCCCGGCGGCTTCAGTTGCATTTTCGATGGAGGCGGAAATGCTGTATGCCCATGTGATCAGATTTCGTTGCACGTTAAAAGCTGCCCCAGGTAATGGAAATTTTCGGAGCCCTCCACTGCGGCGTCTCTCATAATCATAGGGTGGTTTTAGGACGTTAAACACTAAATAAATAAATAAATAAATAAATAAATAAATAAATAAATAAATAAATAAATAAATAATAAATAAGCATCTGCGGCGTCTTTCCTCATCTACATGTCGTTTATCAGTTTCAATTTTTTGCGGTATATGGTCATCTTAGACAAACAGTGAACACTGTCCGGGTTTCATAACAGGCGATTGCGTGAGAGAAAAAGAGGTGTGCTAAGTGCTGTGCTGTACGCCGTCATCATCATCATCATCGCCCCGTTGCTGAAGCATAGGAAGCGCAATAAATGTGTTTTACCCAATAAAAATTCGGGAACGAGTCACGGATGCCCAGTGCGCCAAATTTAGAAATCTGTAGGGTTCGGTTTCGCTCATTCCAAGGCTTCAGGGGAAAATGAATGAAAGCAACGGAAAGCGCCAGTTCGCACGAACGAAGTTGGTTGAAATCCAACGCTGACACCAAGAACACTCGTTCACTCGTCTACTCCGATGAGCGATGTGGTACCGCGAACGAGGTATTTGAGAAAATGTTTTCAGAATTCGTCGTGCGCTTCAGGGTAACCTGAGTGCTCACTGGGTAAACGTGCGACGCGATGCAAAAGCTGGCAAACATAAAGGACGGCTTTTGCATGTAGTGTTAAGCCAATTCATCAAACAGCTTTTCATGGAATGCTTTTATCCTTGGGAAATCTCATTTGCGGGGTCGTAACTTTAACAGCAAAAAAGGCTTTGATTGGATCGATCGGAAAGGCGTCGCACTTCCTCACGTCTCCACTTATTTATTATTTCTCTATGTGTCAGCGCAATTCAAGCAATAGTTTCAACAGATTTACAAATGACACCAACAATGACGACGACCGCAACAATAGTAACTAATCACAATATCGACAATGACGACAATGGCAACAGAGTGTCGAAATTTATCTCTGCTCAGACGCGCTGCAGAGAAAACTTTATATGCAGTATATGCCGAATGCTTAAAAAGCTGGTAACTTAGCTGTTGGTTTAACACTGTCTTCGAACATTGGCGTAGCTATAATTACGTCGTTGTTACGCCTGAGTGTGGTACAGATGCAGCTTTAGGCTGTAAAGGCACTCCTACTGTGTTTATTTCTGTCCTACTAGTTCCATATATAGGAAAAACTAAGAGGGTAGATTAGGAATGTCCAGAAGTAGAAGTCTGCACCCTTATCTCTCAAAATTTTCCCTATATTTGAATAGAGGTAGATATATCACTTGATGTTTGTCAATAGGTGGCATGATATACGATGATTGATTTTACGTTAGTTTGTATTCTGCATGCACTTGCCCCGCCGCGGTGGTCTAGTGGCCAAGGTACTCGGCTGCTAATCGGCAGGTCGCGGGATCGAATCCCGGCTGCGGCGGCTGCATTTTAGAAGGAGGCTGAATTGTTGTAGCCCCGTGTGCTCAGATTTGGGTGCACGCTAAAAACACCAGGTGATCGAAATTTCTGGAGTCCTCCACTACGGCGTCTCTCATAATCATATGGTGGTTTCGGGACGTTAAACCCCACATACCAATCATCAAATCATCGTATACTGCACTTAAACTTTGCACTCTTTTCGCCACTTCATTCGGTACTTAACCACAAGAAAGATATCGCATATAACAGAAGGGAGCCAACATAAACTTTTTTTGTTTTATTCTGGCCACTTGAAGGAGTAGCAGTTAAATACGAGGACATCTGTGTGTTTAGAAAAAATGTCTAACGATTTTGAGTACTTCGTACTCAACTATGGGAGAGCACTAAGCCGTCCCACTAAAAGTATTGGGAGTCGACTTCTGACGACGATGTACTACTGATGACATCTGCGTACACGCAGATTGCTGGGACGTGAGGACTTCAATTCATGCGCCAACTCCATAAACACGAGGATGCTTCCAACCAACCCGCAGATATACTACGCTTATTTATAAGCTTATTTCACAGTCATACTGAACTTAGTTGTCTTATAGGCACAGAAACGTGCTTCTAGGACACATTACAATAACCACAGATTATGGGTTTTCACAGTTGCCTTGAAAATGTGTGCTCTTTAACAAGATAAAAAAACCTGTGTACCTACGCACTGAGGAAATTTCTACAACAGCCGCTCACCACGCGTCACGGAACACAATTTTCTTTAATGATAGGTATAATGGCAAGCTTCACGGGCTTATCGTTGAAGCAAAATGAAAATTAATCACTTCATCGAGAAATGCAAGGAAGAAACATTCTTTTTTTTTCGCAGTTATGAGATTTCTCGCCAAGCTGCCATGCCCATTGAACCGTTCCGGGCGTTGATTAGCGTCTCAAAGGATCCTAGCTAAGCGACAAAGCTGCTGCCTTGGTCAGTGCACCGTCGTTTTGAGCCCTATTTAAGTGGAAAGCACCGTCCGCGCAGGGGTCGTAATCCTTCTCGATAAAGCCGTCCTCAGCGTGCGCTGCTACCCTTTTGTTTTCTTATTCCGTACGTTGTAAGCAAAATCTCTCCCCTCGGTAAAAGATGAGCGGATCTTCTTTCTCGTCGTTCTGAAATAATTCTTTCGCTTTCATCTGAATCCCATTTTACGGCAATAGATTGCCGTTGTCTCGAAGCAATCTGATCGGTTGCGTGATGGTTTCTTTAGAGAGAAGAAAGGCGACGATAACTAGTATAAAGTCGAGCTAACCGTTCTAGGCCGTAGTCCTCGGCAGGGCGCCTGCTTCGGTTCGCCTCGTAATCCTCGTACGAAGACCTGGGACTACCCGCAGACATCCGTTGCCGAGGGCGCACCTCCCTCTGACCGTAATCGTCGTGCTCGGGCTCCCACCTCATCGGCCGACGGGAATCGTTCCCCGGCTGTGGCCGACTGCGTCCTTCGTAATCTCCATCCCAACGATCGTAGTCCGTCGGTGAAGGCTGTCTGGCGGCTCTTTGCCTCGCATCGTTGTAATCGTACTCTGACCGAGGCCTCGGCTTGTCTCTATTCCTGGACTCGTCCTGGCGGGCCACCTGTGCACCGCCGTCTCCCCGCCTGAGATCCCCGACTTGGCGCCTCCTCGGCTCCGCAGCCCTGCGTGGTTGCTCGTCTTCCGCTCTGGGGTAATACTCTTGCCGCTTGTCGTAGGGTGGGCTTCTGAGTTCGTACTCTTGAGACGGTCTGTGGACATCTTCCGGTGCTGAGGGAAGCCTGGAGCCCGGTCCGTGCATCTGGAAGCGAGACTCTCTGAGCCTGTCTCCATCTTCAGCAGCGGGTGTCTGGGGTCTCCCGGAAAAGTTCTCCGGGGAGCGCTCTCTGCGGGAATACTCCTGCATGGGGTAATCGTCGCGAGTGTCACGAGGTGCTCTTCGGCGATCACGTGCCTGCAGGAATTCCTTCTCTTCCCTCCATCCGTCACCCCTACGGCGCTCTTCTCTTCTCGGCGGTTCACTGTTTTCAACCCTGGGCGCCGCAGCCCGTGGCTCACAATTTTCTTTCGCATATCTGGGCTCCCTCGATGTTTCCTGGTTCCGCGCGTCCTGTCTCGGGGGCCTGTTAGAAGAGACAGCATGGTAAAATATGTTTTCGGTGAAGCATTTTCTAAATAATTATCCGAACAATGCACAACAGTGTACTAAAATAACGTTTAAGGCAATGTACTGAGCTGCATAATAGAAACTATTGACGAGACACAAGATATGCATGGATAGATTTGCTAATATTAAAAGGCGCTATTCGAATAAACTATCTTTAATTTTATAACCATAGAGCCAGAAAACCATAGCAATTTACATAGTTTTTATTGGCAATTAAAAATGTTTAATCAATTCTGCAGTCACGTGTTACGTTCATAGTTTAGTTCTATACAGTGGCAATGCGCAGAAGCTTTCTTTTCACCACTTGACTTCTATATATATGGACCTCTAATCGTTCCTATTCGTACACATCGATTGCAGATGTCCAAGATTGACTAGAAGAGCAGATAAAGTACGCGTTAAGGGAAGTGAAAAATTACAACCTAAGAATGTGGGAACACAGTAATTGGTTGAAACAACCAGAAAACTGTTGTAAATAAATTAATCAGAATGCGGTAATTATCATTATTCTTAATATTATTTAACTTACTTTGGGGATAACACGTATGCAGGATTTGCCTGCAAGGTAAGGCAAAAATACTTATTCCTTCTTACTTGGCCTTACCACAATGGGGCAGCCAAAGCAACGGATTTCAAAACAATAAATCATCTTTGTAACCCAATAAAAAAACGAGGTCATAATCATTAATACAGTAAGCATATAAGCACCAATGGCAGTAGTGACATGATACAAGTAACGAACATAGTGTAATGATGCAGTCACAGTCATAAGCAAAAAAGTCAAGAAAAACAAGACATTAATAATGAAGTAATTAGTTATACTAGTAACGTTATGATCTAGTTAAGATCTAGTTAACGTTATGATCTAGATCTAATTAGTTATACTAGTAACGTTATGATCAAGTCGCCGAGCCTCGTGATTATTGTTCAGTCATATTGGCAACTAAATTTTTACAACAGATACGCGTCCGGAGTAAGACACATGTTCATTATCAATTGTTTAAATTCTCAAATTGTTTTGCAGTATTTGATTATTTCCACAACAGTAGGATACATATTGCATAAACACGTAGTTTAATACTTCATGGTATCAATGCCATAGTTTGTCTTGGGTGTATTTGTTACTAAAACGGAACTTAGAAGGCTAGAATTGGGCGTGTTGGTACAACATGATTGAATCTGCATATCAGAAAACGACAAGAGGGTACATGATTGTGTTCCACGCATGGCTATTATAACAATAACTGTACAAAAAGTGAAGGCTTTCAAAAGAAATAAATTGTTGGAAGTTAAGCACCATAAGTCTTCTCTGTGCTCTCGTGCAGTTTACGCTGATATGCACTCCTAATGAAACTTCAAGTCATTTACTAGTCATTATCATATAATGTTGAAATTCATCATATTATTGTTCTGAAAGAATATATAGTCTGTCTTCACTGATTTGTTGTTTTACTTTAGTTGACTTTCGACCTCTAGGGGAATCGATATGAACCACCCTGTGTTGAAGCAAACCACGCTGGATGCGAAAAGTTGAAAAGTCTGTGAACAAGAGCTGTCGCTGAAGTCAACGTTTCAATTAGCTTTGCCTTTTTTTGTTTCAAGTAGCTGAAAAGGACAAGACTATACGTTAGCTCCAAGGATACCTCTTTTTGTAAAATGTTCCATTCCTTCAAATGATTAAAATATGAACGAGAACACAAGTAGGGACATGAGCAACGGTAACATGCACGAACTACTAGGAGCTTTTGCCCCGCCGCGGTGGTCTAGTGGCTAAGGTACTCGGCTGCTGACCCACAGGTCGCGGGCTCAAATCTCGGCTGCGGCGGCTGCATTTCCGATGGAGGCGGAAATGTTGTAGGCCCGTGTGCTCAGATTTGGGTGCACATTAAAGAGCCCCAAGTCAACCAAACTTCTGGAGCCCTCCACTACGGCGTCTCTGATAATCATATAGTGGTTTTGGAACGTTAAACCCCACATATCAATCAATCAAATCAGTCAACTACTAGGAGCGTGCGCCGAGGTGCAAAGTGGTAAGATATACAAGGGGTGTTCAAGTGAAAATGTACGAAATGCCGTAACAACGTTACCATTAAAATAGATGCCCATGACGCTATCGCAAACTACGCGGGTCATTTAGAAGTGCGATTGGATACCCCGTAGCGGGTCGGCGCCTGCATGTGCATGAGAGTGGATGCTCCTATGAAAATCACCGTCCAGTTCACGAAGCAGCGCGTGTGATAACAGGATGGCGTTCACATTGCGAAATTCAACGACTGAGTAGCATCGAGACGTTATCCGATTTCCGACAACGTAGGGTGTTAAGCGGGCCACAATTCATCGCCGCATGGGGATCGTATACGGGAAAGACTGCGCGTCTGACGATTCCCCGTGAAAAGGGAGTGCCCGTTTTCTAGCAGGCCGTGATAGCTTGGTTGATGACTCGTGGCCAGCTAAATAGTTATCATGGTCGATCTCGTCAACGAGATTGGAGACATAGTAAGAAGTGATAGGCGTGTTCCATTGCAAATGTTAACAGTGAAAAACATATAAAAAAAACGAGAAAAAACATCTGAAATGAAAGCGCTTCAGCTTTGACGACGAACTCGAAAACACTCTGAGGGACTACTTTTTTCTGAACTTTCACCTTTTCTATTCTTTTTTTTCTAGTCTTCAAAAAAAGTCAGCTATGCTACTGGCAGTGCCCCCGTTCTTCTGGGCGTCCTTGGGGTTGTTCGGTCTGTTTTGATGAGGAAAGTACAAAACACGTGAAACATCAAAAATCAACAAAGAAGGGAACACGGGACCCACTGAGATATCCCCAAGCAACCGTCCATAATTGGATTACACAACATCTCTGAAGAATTCCAGGAAATTTAGAAGATCAAGTCACCGAATAAGTCACCCAACTCTAGAAGACAACCCCAGCCCAAAGAATATAGCATTCTTTCTTTCTTTTTATTTTTTCATTTACCTCCTGCTTTTTTTCTCATTTTATTTTTTCTCCTTCTCCTCGTTTTTACCATCAGAATTACCTGTTGGCTTCTGCCCTATTATTTTATTTTTATTGGTTGAAGCCCGATATACTTGAGGATTCCTAGAAAAGGAAAGCGGGTTAGGGGGAGACAGAAGGTTAGGTGGGCAGATGAGATAAGGAAGTTTGCGGGTACAAATTGGCCGCAGCAAGAACAGGACCGAGTTGACTGGCGGAATAAGGGGGAGGCCTTTGTCCTGTAGTGGACGTAGTCAGGATGATGATGATGATACTTGAGGTACGGTCTGCTGGGTTACTTTCATTTGCTTTTTTTTGCCCCACAATATTGTATGCGTGTGAAGGATTAGGTTTCGTCACAGCTACATGAATTATGGAAACGAAAATCTTTTGGCTTGTTCATCAATGGGATCGTTGTGCTCAAGCCTATGGTGTATACGTTCAGCAAAGCCTTCATTTTACCACATGTGTTTTTGTACCTATTCATTTGAACACCTCTTACTTTATGCGTAATTAAACTGCGCTTAGGATGAGACACCGGAGCAAAAGCAGTCTAACTGACGTATTGAAAGCACATCAACTTCCCTTCTTAAACAATGCGCGTGGGCACCGACAGTCATGACCGCGTGACCAAGTCCACTTGCCCACCAGGACTCAAGAAAATGCAGCTCTTGAAAAATACGCAGATGTATTGCTGACGCACGTATCTGAATAATCCGCGAACATTCCAGAATGCCACGTGCCCTTCGCTCGTCCTAACACCTTTTCGCTGATAAAAATAAAATAAAAATAAAATTGGGCTTGTACTTCTTCACACATGTGCTAAGAAGAACAGGCGCATTGTTTCAGGCGGTAAGGTTATGTGGCTTAAATAAATTGGGTAGTCTGCAAGTGATGATCTGACGGAAGCCCGTCTAGTCGGGAACTAACATTATAGAATGAAAAGGACACCAACCATAAAAAGAAAACACAAAAAAAGACGTTTCGGCTTCCCCGACGTGAGCCGTCTTCACAATGTTCGTCCTCGCATTCATTGTGAACAAAGCTTCTGTCAGGGAAGACGACACGTCTTTTCAATACGAAGCATTTCTTAGCGAACTTCGGCTACTTTGAGCGTACCTATCTATCTATAGCCGCTTTCGTTTGGATGCTCTCGTGGTCACCCCCTTGGCGTGAACGAAAATTAGCATGGGAGGGTAAGATGGTTTGACGAATGTGAAACGCTGTGGTGACGTCACAGAAGTGATATATACGAATAAAAGTCTACTACTGCTACTACTACTACTACTACTACTACTACTACTACTACTACTACTACTACTACTACTACTACTACTACTACTACTACTACGTACCTGCCTTTGTTTCAAATAAACTTTAGTTGCAGGTAGGCGCTTTTGGTCTGTGCAATTTACTGTTCTAGTGTCCGTGTCTGTGTGCGCGCTCTTATTCTGTTAAAAGATGAAGCAATACCAACTATCCGCGCTTGTGTTTCGACATTCTGGTGTGGCGTTTCTCGTAACATTTGTATCGTTTTAGGTGCGAAGCACCTTAGTGCCTCGGCTTGTCGTCGGCGTCTAATGTCGCCACAGTGTGTTCTATGCATGGTCGTGGTACATCATAAACGGCTGTGCGCGCCACTAAAATTGGCCAAGTCCCACTGCTCGTCAGCGGCCCACTAAAATTGACGAAGGCAGAAGTTAGCCCAACAGATAGCCGTTAGTGGAACACCATTCCCGGGCATGTAGGAAAGAAAAAGAAGCACCTTAGAGTAAGCTGCATTCCGACGCAGTTTTTAGATGACGTCAGTGGAGCGGAAATACCCTTGCCTACAGGCCTGCAGGTTTCAGACTTGGCACTGCCTCATAGGACACGGCATGCTTCGCCCCTCTTCATTTTGGCGCAGTTGGAACACTACACGCATCGCTCATCCTCAGTTCTTTTATGAAAGTTTGACTCAGAATATT